CACCTTACTGTCTGCTACTATTATAAATAACTTCCATCTAGAACTGCCTTAGATAGAAGAGTTTAAATCTAAGAACATAAGGCAGCCTGACCAGATAATAATAAGATATGCAGAGGGTATGGGTGCTTAATTCTATTCTTAAATAAATAAGCTTAGTTTCCTTAGAGCATGAACTGTGTTAATTTAAAAGTATTTACTTAATATAATATAAAGAGTAGATTTAAAACTACTACTTTACTCTATTAAAGTTAGATACAGTACTTAAATAATTTAGGCTCTATATTAGAGACACCTATATCTCTAGGTAGTTAGTAAATAAATTCAGCACCACAGGCTTATAAAGAGTTATAAAACCACCATAAATAGTATTATTATTCTAGCTTAAAAAGATAAGGAATTTATATACTATTTATAAGAGAGTAACTTTCCTTTATTAGATTTATCTCATAAAGCTAGCTGCAAAAAGTAAATAGAGAAGGTAAAGTATAAATAGGAGTCTCTTATAATATATCTAGATTTATATTAGTATTTAATAGAATACTTATAGAATAGTGATATGGACCCTAATAACTTATAGTTTCTATTATTATATAGTGCTCTATCCTAATAATAGATATAGCTCTTTACATATCACTTATAATATTATCTCTGTATTAAAATATAGAGTCTTTGCTTTTAGGGTAAAGACTTAATGTCTAAAGTAATAATAATATAACTTTATATAAACTAATATATATTATCCTTATCTATGCTAGTTAGTAAGTATATATAATAGTATAAAAAGTGCTTGGTTTAATAGGCACTTATTAAATAATATACTTATAATATACAGCCTAAGGTTATAGAATAGCCCATGCTTATTGCTATTAATGTTTAGTCTAGCTATAGAAGGCTAACATTGTTATTCTGATAAGGCATCCTATATATATGCTATATACTTCTTCATTTATCCCTACTATAACAGGCTCTACTAAACATGAAAATGCTTTAAGTAGTATATTATAGAATTAATTAAATAAATAGTTAATCCTCTTTCTTTGGTTAATGCAGGTATTGATGTTTAGATAATAACTATAGAGATAGCTCTGGGTAAACCTATAATCTATTAAATAATATAAGGCCCTTAAGATATACCTAGGTAGTAGAAATATAAAGCTTTAATAGGAATATCTACTATAGTAAGTATAAGCTTTACTATAGGCTTAATAACAGCTACTTACTCCTATCTTCCTAACTATATTAAGCACTTATAATACCCTTGCAGCAACCAAATATTATTTAGATAGTGGTAGGGGTAGATTAGTATATTATTAAGTCTAAGATCTATATAGTATATATTAGCCACTGCCTTGAGATGGCCCTGTTCTAGAAGAAGCACTATATAGGTATATTAAGTTAGTTACATCCATAACTATGGTTCGCTATATAGGAGCTTATTATTAAGGCTAATAGATATTTACAGATATTTAAAGGCATTAGTATAGTTCTGATAGTGATACTTAATTTTACTATTCAGCATGGCCATGGCTACTACCAGGGTCTACTAATACTTACTATTATAGGTAAGGCAGGTCTCTGGGATAAGTGTATAGGTCTGCTGGAAGAGCTCTTATTACCTTAGGGCTCTATTTATATCCCTAGTAGCTGTACAGGCAATTCCCTTAGTGTAATAAGCAGTTACTATTATAACTTTATAAAGTTTAGAGTTACTTAGTAATCCTATCTGTTTCAGCTCCTTCTATATTCTAAAGATATTCCAAAGCGCACCATGACATGTAGGTGAATTGACATAAAGTTCTCCAGCTAATCAGCCATGGGTGGGGATTGAATCTGTAATATGTTTTTGGGGACTGAAGCTTCTATCCAAGCAATGGCATCCATTGCTATTTTGAGCTTCCCTGCAAACATAGCAGCATGGATGAGGGAATGATAGTCATTAAGTTGATAGAATGTGTAAAAGTTGTATGGGCCTGCGCGGCGCATTCCACCTTCCCATCATGGCTGGTGATGTTGCTGCGTATCTTCTTCCCAACTCAACCTCCATGATAAAGTCCCATTATACCGCATCAAATGGAGGCCAGCTAAATGTTCCCGTAGACCTTGTCGTAACCACGGTGTCTATGTGCTGATATTTCCATAATGGCAATTAAGTGCGGTCTAAGCAAATTTTGAACGGAGATCGGTTCTATCTGGTAGATCAGCTCGTGTCAGCTTTCCCAAGTTCCTTAGTCAATCTCAAAAAGCCGAGCTAACAAAATTCTCAGCATATGCTCGACGCATAGACTCTCTCATTCTACGGTGGTCTCCCGTTCACTAATGCTTAAAGGCCACAAGTAGGTATCCTATCTGCAACTGATTGTACGCCTCATATTTTGCGTTCTGATTTCAATCCATCCGGTTGTGTTCTGAAATAGTTGCAGTCGAATTACGTCAACGATAAAGATGCGCTCTCCGCCAGTCCTTGCATTCTTTAAAGGTATATGGTTTATTTCTCAGCCCTGACGTACTACGAATGGATGTGAAATGGGTACATCGCGTTACTACCGCATAGATTATCACTGAGCCATGGTTACTAATTGAATTTCTACCCTGCGGGCGCGCATTTCGTTGAGATCATGATGGTGCCCCGGTGATTCCGTACGGGCAACTCATATACGGTACTGTAAGCTTTGCTTTAACAGTTGTAATTAAGAGGAAGGTTGATTATTATTATTCTCATCTTAAAACATGAGGGCTTATACAAGAGTTGAATATCAGATTGATCTCCAATCCGATTCAAGAGGGAATGAGTTCCGTACACGCAGTTCTATCGTGTACTTGATCGAGCCTCAATTCACAACACTTTTTGATTGGACTGTTATCCATCGCACTCCACGCATGACTTGTACATATAGGGCACCGGCGTCTACTAATGGAGCTACTGTGTGCTATGCGGCGAGTTCTATGCACTTCTCGGATAGCCGGAATTGCAGCACCCCGGAACTATTTGTGCGGATGATGCTATTTCCCGGATTCCGAAGTGGAAATATGATCCGGATGTCGTTACAAATTGCAAGATTCCTATGATGGGTTTATGATTACTGAGCTCCACCTCTTTTAAAGGAGCTCACGCCCCATATACTCTAGATTCATTCCAGTCCTTTAGCTTACATCCAGCCCTTTTAACGACTTCAGGCGAGCGTGATTCAGGAGCAGTTCGTTGCAAACTGCATCCAGGTATATGTTGGGTAGAGTATCATCGCAGGAAATGCCGAGTTCGATGTCTCTATATAAGAAGGGCGGAAGTTGTTGTACTGAAATAGGAGGGTAATTCTGTGCCATGCGCATGCTTGAATATGGCAACATAATTGTGCCTGATGTTGACGCCTTCGCATAACCATTGACTGTTGACAAAAATGGTTCAGGCATAAAAAAGTCGCCTGTGTATACAAACTTACAGCAGAGCTCAAAGGTGAGCTCATCCATCTAATCTAGAAGCATAAAAGTATTCTTCTCATTATTTTTAGACGCCTTGATGGACTGCCTGATAACCAGTGGAAAAGCCCGAAGCGCTCCTGAGTGAACAAAAAATGGTAAATCACCGCCGTCTATATAAATGGTCACCATGTCCGTATGGGCGATACTGGATATGATGTATTCATGTATATCAAGGTCTGCCATTAAAATGAACAGCATCCTTTCATAGAGGAGTAACTTACTGCGCAGGAGATACAAGCCGCGAAGGAGGAAACGCAGACCGAAAGGCTGAATGATGATGTATTTGATCTAATCAGTGATACTGACGGAGACCCTCGCCGAAGGCTCCGCCATCGCAGCCCCCGAGAATGATTGCGCTTGGGAAGACACCTCTCAGAGATATCAGGGACGCACCTCCGATTGAACTCGAAGATGAGGATGAAGATGTCGAAGTGGATGAAATACCGCTACCGGATAATACAAATGTGCAGAGTAAATGTGGTACATGGAGGCGTACATCAGCGCGAGTTCCAAAGCGTTCAAAGCATATAAAGCCCTAGATTTAATGGAGCTGGAGAGGTTTAGATTAATCTTTACTACGTTCGCATGCTCTTGTCGAACTCGTAATCTAATTACCTAAAAATACAGCCTAAATCTACATAAAATATGCCTATCACGGGATTTCTCCCATTTGATAATCTGGCGGATCGGGGCGGATCGGGGCGGATCCCGATGCAGATCAGAACGGATCCTCTCGAGGTCTAGTCCAGATGCAACATTGGCATACGAAAGCCCCAGGTATTGGTCCGTTTGCAGTATCAGTAGACATACTTTAATCAGCTTTAGTCGTATCCACCGTGTCGCTAACATAAACCTTGCATATTTTGACTTCTCATTCCGCTTGCAATGAATATAGACATCGTACTGAGATGTTTGCAGTAATAGCAGACATAACTTTAAGTTCGACTTAGTACCCATCATATCGCTTACATGAAGATTGCGTAAATGACTTCTAGCGGTCAACTGACCGGTGGGTGGTTGCTATTCTCAGTCCGCTTGCTGTAAAGACAGACATAACTCTAATGTACGTTGTACATGAGTGACATCAAGAGAGGGATCACAAATGGCGATGTATTTGATTCGTCACTCTGCACCATGCTTTGCTAATCTAGGTTTTATTAAGTTTCATTGGGCAGATATAAAACCCCGGGAAAGAATCTTGGTCAGGCAAGTATCAATCGCTTTTTCCTTTATATACTAAACCCGCTGGTTTCGTTAGCTACAAATACTTAGCATCCTTCCTCGTCTTGGCCTTCATAGAACATCTTACAGCCTCACTAAGATTACCATTCAGTATGAGGCTCCTTATGACTTGGCTACCTCTTATATATCCCATCTGGGGACTGGAAACCATGGTCTGCATTCCTGCATCGGAATACGATGGAATGCATCCTTTCGAGGTAAACACCAACTGTGTTTTTCTACAGGGCTCTGCTCCTACCCCCTAAACATAAGCTGACAGGCTCTAAATTTTCTTCGCCTTCATGAATCTAACTTCAGATTCGCAGGAAGATTTACCTTCTCCAGCGGCAGCGGCTGTTCCCCCAATGGTGACATCTGGAGGCCGAGTCGCAGTGGTCCCGGTTGTGAGAGATGGCAAGACATGTCCGGACGATACTGACGAATCCGCTTTTCGATCCGGGAATTGCGAATATGGCTCCTACTTAGGCACAGTGCCTGGCGGTTATAATGACTTCAAATGTTGCTATCACGCGGAGCAGAAAGTCTTCCTTCTTTCTGTCCCCGGAGTCGGCGCATATGCCAACCACAAGGCCAAATACATCTTGGATGGCCGACCCTGTTGCAGTATGGGCGAAGAAGCCACTGCATTCACGGATAGCAAGCGGTGTGAATACGGTAATGCAATGCTTGGAATACCAGATAGTTCCTACCTAACCAAATGTTGCTGGGATCCTCAGAGGCATGATTTCAACGTCCATCTGCGGAGCTTCCATCCTGCTTTCACACAAAAAGTCAACAAAAGTTACTCAAGAAAGATCTACAAAGGATTCTGGGGACATGAAACAGTTGGAATAGACTTGTTCGACGTCCAAGTGTACGGGTATTATCTAGATATCAGCTCCAAGATTTGGGCTGAGGGTGTGATTGATTGGCACCAGACTAACACTTTCCGCGTCCATCTCGACAAGGAATGGAAAGTCGCAAAGAACTGGTACCCAGGCTCCAAAGAAACTGGACATATCTCGATCGACGTTTTGACGAGAGTGAACAAGGATAATAGCGTTGACGTGAAAGGTCATATCACAGGAACAGGTCTCATCTTCGGTAGGCTGGAGGAAACGGTTGGGCCCTTCACAATTGACACGAAGGAGTTGAAAGATGCTTTGCGGTACTTGCCAAAATGCTGATTCATGACGGTGAAAAGGGAGAAGTAGCACGATGATCCTATTCATCGAAGTGTATCTTACCATTAATAGCCAGATGTCTGGCTTGTTGCAACCAATAATCCGGGTGAAGACACGGACTGTTATAACTTGAGCTCCTTTTTTTTTTGTTGCTTTGGAACTCTAATTCCCTATTTCGCTCCCTTGGCATTGACCTAGGAGATTTAAGTATAGTCAGAGCTCCGTAGTTACACTAAGGTATACACGAACTGGGGTTTGCCGCGAGTAGTACTATAGGATCTGGAAAGATTCTCTATTATAGTCAACAGGTGTATTCTTAGTTAATACTAAGAAAGCTAAGGTGACGATGTAAGAAGTATTAACTTACAATTTAATTTCTTTGAATTTCAAAAGTCTTTATAGATAATGAATGAGTGGCTATTGGTAGGTTAAAAGATATAGGACCGCGAGAGAAAAAATCAAACTGACAGCAGGAAGGACAACCAAGGCGGTGGAGCGCATATTGATGGGGTTGTTCGAGGAGGCTTGCTACGGCCCTCTCACCCTCAACTGTTCAACTCATGCCCAGCCGTGGGGGGAGCAGCATCTGTGGCGAGTCGTCTGATGGGCTCAATCACTTTCCCGATTAGCAGCTCATCTGCCTTAGATTCATGGTCACCGTAGTCCGTCATGCTACCGGTGGTGCGGTCCGGTCCGGATGGCACATTCTCCAAGCAGATGCTGTTCTTGCATTCTTAAATGGTAAATTGCGTGACACGGTATACATGCATCAACCCACAGGATTCGAAGAAGGAGAACCCGGTACATTGGTTTGCAAAGTCCTACAATCACTATACGGCTTATCACCTTCTGCTCGCATCTGGTATGACACCTTGACGCAGCGTCTTAAAGAGACTGGATTTCGCGTCTCCACGTACGACCCAGGTTTATACATTCACCGTTCTACTCCACATTTGTATCTCACCACCCATGTCGATGACTTCAAGATTGTTGCGGAGAGCCGCGAGATTGCCCAATCCGTACTTGATGAGCTCAAAACCAAGTTCGAGATAAAAGACTTAGGCTCCATCAAGCATTATCTTGGCACTGATGTGTGTGTGAACGACAATGGTATATTTCTTTCACAACGTCAATATGTTGACGATCTTCTCTCTTCTTTTGGGATGACCGATCGGCACCATCATTGATGACAAACCGGATCCCAATATTAATATCAAAGAATACCAGCGCGGCACTGGGAATCTTCAATGTCTTGCGACAAAGACTCGACCAGATATCTGCCGTGCGGCATGCCTATTAGCTGAGCACAATGCGTCTCCTACAAAGAAATGCTGGACAGCTCTCATGCACGTGCTCAAGTACCTCAGGGCACCAAAGACCTTGGATTGCAATATTCCCGAGGCACCGGCAACTTATCCACGCCACTTGCATACACCGACTCCGACTGGGGTGGAACCCACACTGATCGTCGACAGTCTGTTGGTGGATATGTGTTTCTCTTAGCTGGCGCGCCTATCTCCTGGCAATTTAAGATACAATCCTGCATTGCTTTGAGCTCCAATGAAGCCGAATATTGTACGCCCCCCCCCCAACTGAAGGATGTTTGCATTTTATGGGCAATTAAATATGTGTCACCGTAGTTACAGAGACTGGCGGTCAGCCAGGAAAGGTACAATAAATCATATTCTCCAAGATGGCAGATACTAAGCTGCAGGAGGTAAGGAGACCTTGCATATCAGTTATTCAGTATACCGGTGAAAGGATCATTCTGGTTTACCGCCAATCGTAAGATATGCAAGCCACGTCACCATACTTTTCCCAGGCTGTACCGAACCTATAGGGTCCGTCGAGGTGGTTAGGGATGGATGCCTTCCACCCTTGCTTGTATGAACTCCAAGATTCACATAGCAAAGTAATGTTCCAGGATTATTATTTATAGCAGCCCTCCGTCCAAAACATAGACACATAACTTCAGCATTGCAATTCCACGAAAACCCGATTTCAATCTCAAATCTCGTCAAGAAAGAGGAACCACCGACAATATGAAATTTATCAGCATTCTCTCTACTTTCGTCTTTGCCGTGGTTGTGATGGCAGGCCCTGCGAAAGAGACCGATAGTAAACTCGAAAAACGCCAGGTATAATAATCAAGACCCGATTTACCGTGACTTTGGGTGACTACAAATAACTAGTGCTGACTGCGATGGGATGTGGACAGTGCGTAAGTGATTGATCTTATATTGAGATGTGTCTATCAGAATGCAGGACTGACTGATGGGATATGGGGCAACCTGTATGTGATTGACCTTATATTGAGATGTGGCTATCAGAATGCAGGACTGACTGCGATGGGATGTGGACAGGGTGTAAGTGATTGACCTTATGTTGAAATGTGGCTATCGGAATGCAGGACTGACTGATGGCACGTGGACAGGCTGTAAGTGATTGACCTTATATTGAGATTTGGCTATCAGAATGCAGGACTGACCGCAAGGGGATGCGGCAGTGTGTAAGTGATCGAGCCTATATTAAGATTTGGCTATCAGATTACAGGACTGACTGTAATGGGATATGGATAGCAAGTAAGTGATTGAGCTTACATTGAGATATGGCTATCAAATGTAGGACTGACTGATGGCATGCGGACAGGGTGTAAGTGATTGACCTTATGTTGAGATTTGGCTATCAGATGCAGGACTGACTGTGATGGGATATGGATAGCTTGTAAGTGATTGGCCTTATATTAAGATTTGGCTACCAGAATGTAGGACTGACTGTGGGGGATGTGGACAGGATGTAAGTGATGACCTTATGTTGAGATGTTGCTACCAGGATACAGGACTGACTGTGATGGGATGTGGGCAGCCTGTAAGTGATTAAGCTTATATTAAGATGTGGCTATCAGGATGAAGGACTGACTGATGGCATGTGGACAGGCTGTAAGTGATTAAGCCTGTATATTGAGCTGTGGCTACCAGAATGCAGGACTGACTGGATGGGATGTGGACAGGATGTAAGTGATTAAGCCTATATGTTAAGATGTGGCTATCAGAATACAGGACTAACTGTGATGGGATATGGATAGCAAGTAAGTGATTAAGCTTATATCAAATATGGCTATCAAAATACAGGACTGACTGTGGATGGGATATGGATAGCTTGTAAGTGATTGAGCTTATATTGAGATGTGGCTACCAGAATGCAGGACTGACTGGATGGGATGTGGACAGGATGTAAGTGATTGACCTTATGTTGAGATGTTGCTACCAGAATGCAGGACTGACTGTAATGGGATGTGGAAAGATTGTAAGTGATTAAGCTTACATTAAGATGTGGCTACTATAATTCAGGACTAACTTAGATGGATGTGGACAGCCTGTAAGTGATTGGGTTTATATATTGAGATGTGGCTACCAGAGTGCAGAACTGAGTGTGATGGGATGTGAACAGGCTGTGAGTGATTGAGCCTATATATTGAGATGTGGCTATCAGAATGCAGGACTGACTGTAAGGGGATGTGGACAGTGTGTAAGTGATTGAACCTCTATGTGGAGATATGGCTATCAAAGTGCAGAACTGACTGCGATGGGATGTGGACAGGCTGTAAGTGATTGAGCTTATATTGAGATGTGGCTACCAGAATGCAAAACTGACTGTGATGCGATATGGATAGCAAGTAAGTGATTGAGCTTATTTTGAGATGTGGCTACCAGAATACAGGGCTGACTGTGATGGGATATGGACAGTGTGTGGATTTTTGATCTTATATCAAGATGTGGCTACCAGAGCACTACGGGACGCTGGGCTCGTTTCGAATTGTTTGAATTTGAAGACCACTTTTCCCTGCCTTGGTACAGGTTTTCCCTATTCAGTTAGGTTTCCCTGTACTGCTATGTGAATGCAAAGGCTTGATATTAAATTATTTTAATCATCTAATCTCATCGTGCGCGTGAACCAGATGAGAGTCAATCAGGTGGCGACAAATGGAATCCTTTTGCTTGAATGGAAGCTAAGGATTTGATACTGAACGAGATACACTGAAGTCCCTGTCAGTAACTTGACTTGGGGGTGGATAATAGCAGTTCTAAACGGATTAACCTTTGGACGGACATGCATATGGCGGGAGCATACCAGTTTAGATCCAACAAATACCCAGAATCCCGAAGCATCAGCGGAAGATATACACTCGACCAGTGTCCCTTATGCGTATGCCCCAAAGGACCTAACAGACAAGAAGAAAAATTAAAAAACAGACTAGACTAACCAGGCTGCTGATCAAGTTTTCGCGCTCTGTATAAATGTAATGTGTGGAAAGCGTCCATATTGACCCCAAGGGCTTCTCCCATTGTAGCAGCCACAGTCGTCTGTATTTTCTCATTTGTCCATCCATGTACCCAACCAAAGGGCGCCAAACAAAATGGCTCAATACTCTCGGCAAAGGCTGTGTTGTACCAGCGGGCAACTGCCCATTGTATTTTACGGACGTATTAATGACGTAAAATATGCCTGCAGAAGTGGGTATTGATTTATAACATAACAGTTCGCGATTAGTTAGGTAGTGTCTAGTGACAAGACGTCCTGCAGACTATAGAGTATGCGCTGATGGAGCAATCTAACTAAGGGAGAGGAGTGGGAAGGTGGTGGAGGGGGGGAGGAAGGAAATTCAGTTGGCCAAAACCGATCGATTGAGAAAAGATCAAAGAGTGTTTGTTGTAAATCAACTGGCATGCTGATGCCTGTGGCTTCCATGAGACGATACTGTAAGTAGCTCTCCGCTATCGACGATAACATTTAAAAACACTTAGTGGGATGCGGGAATTCGATGAATACTCCCGTTGTCAGCGGTATTATGACCTTCCACTATCCGGGCTACTCCTCCACTCTTGAACCCAACAGGATATATCGTCCGCCAACGGTGGCTGTCTGATGACATCAAATTATCAAGGCCCTAGACGGAGACGGAGTAGGTGGCTATTGCAGTGTCGAAGGCACCGAGCATCTGAGTCTGAATTGCGATACTCCCGGCTTTTAGAAGAAAGGGCGATGCTGCTGCCAAAGCATTGCTGAAGTTGTTGAAGGCCGCTTTGAGAGACTGGAGATCGCTAAAAACCAGTTCACTGCCCCCTGGAATAGCTGCCCAAGAAGGTTCTTGAGATCCAATAGCAACCAATGTAGCCGAGAGCGTGGGGACTAGCAGTTGGACATCGGCAAGAATAGTAGTTCCAGCTGTGATGCTAAAGGAGCCGGTGGATTTGATATCGTCAGTCGTAGCAGCCACAATAGTAGCAAGAGTCTGAAAATCGTTGTGGATAGTCTGTGCTCCGGTTAAACCACTAGCGGGGAAACCATTGACGTCGTTGTTAAGTTTTGTAATTTGCGGGCCGATTTTTTGCGTTATATCGTTCTCAACCGTACTAGCATCACGACGAAGGATAGGTGTGGCGGCAGCAGTCAAGGCCAGAATGAGAAGTCTAGCAAAAAGTACCATCTTCTTTGCTTTAGTAAGAGTTACTGGAGAATAATAATAGTGGTATGAGTGTCCAGAGAGCGAGCTTCTCATGCTTTATTTATATGCTAGGGGTCAAGAAGGTGACACCAGGATCTAAGGCGGGCGTAACTCACCATATCAGGCTGATTCTGCATATGCGTAATTGCGTAACATACTACCAATTATATGTTACTATTTTCACTAGTTGCACCCCACCTCTGATGAAGGCGAATGTAAACGCATTTTCCTGTAGATCTTTCCACGATATGCTAGCCTAAAGCTCAGAACTCGCACAGGGCCCTGCCGCATTGGTCAAGCCTCCACAAGCTGGTGCAAGGAGTATAAACCACAGAAGCTAAATTCCAGTAGTCTTGGATGGCTATTCAGAACTACTTGGAATATGAACCTCGCTTCACTAGTGCAATGGGTGGGTTCTTCTCTAGATGGGCTGTACCTGTTCACTCAAGTCTCCTAACCACCACCCTCCCCATATAACATCGAAGGGTAGATGATTTAATTTAGTCCTTTTGTGCCTGGTGAACAAGGTAGTGGAGAACAGCATAAGTTGGTGGATGATCCTGGCGATCGATGGTATGCAAGTGCGGATTTGGGCTCTGAACCCAGCCAAGTCATCTATAAGATACTGAATCTCACCAGCGGGGTGGATCCCTCTACCAGATCGATATGCGGGACAATCACAGATCAACCCGCCCTTCTATAGGCATTTATCCACTTTCTCGAGTCTTATTCGCTACACCCAGACCGCTGTTTGCGGTAGGCCAAAGTACTTATGGAAGAGCCCTATTCCGAATATTGATTGAATCTTGGACGATCTTACATCTTGCAGGAACGACATAATATTTTCATACTTGCTGCGTCTAAATCGCTCTGTGTTACTGAGATGGGTAACATGGGAAGTGACTTGAGCGCACCCGATAGCCTCGACTGAGCAGCTTCCTCCCAGATGTATCCAGCACAACCACTGAGCTGAAATTCAGTCAACTGAAGCAGAGGAAGGAGCGGAGCCACGTCTCTAAAATTTACTTCAGGTACATTTCAACAGCGCAACAGACTGCTGGATTCAACGGCCTCTCGCACGTGACAGGTTTCTGTGGTTTCAAAAAGGGACTAGGCATCGGTATTACAAACTATGATTTTCAATCGATGACGAGAGACGCGAGCACAAAGGCTCGTCATAAAACACTATTTGAAGTGTTGCCGGAGTTTAAAGGAACAAGAATAGCTCAACGTATCGAGCCCGTCATTTATTTTGTGTGGCCCGTCCTGGTCAATTTTCGGTTCCTCATTGATGTAAGAATGTAACCCGGGGAAATAAGCACCAAGCTGGCGCATTATCGTCTTTCCTCGGTGCCTGTCTCCACATGATCAAATTCGATGCAAGGCTCTGAGAGTCAGCATGAACTGCACGACTGAGGAGGCTCCGTATCGAACTCAGTAATGCAACGTCTTTCTTTGCCCTGCTCCAAAAGCGAGCGCATTCTGTGAGAAGATGCCCTGCGTCACGCCCCAAGTCTTTGTGGTTTTTGCTGGGGTACGAGGACCCCAAGGATATTATAAATGTGCTGAGTTTCGAGAGGCGCGTGTTGATTATCGGCTGTCTTATTCTTAGTATGCTATCTCTTATGCCTCCTAGGAAGCGTATGCAAGGGGTATGCAGAAATCGAGCTTTTGCCCCTCCCATGGAAAGAACGTAGAATATATATTATTCCGTCAGCCAATTTACATTGTTCAATTACTGGTTGGAGACTAAACCACCATTCATGAGTCCGTTTCTCTGTTTGTCTTTCAGTTCTATCTGTACCGTTGAATATGAGTGCCAGGGAGCCGGAGCAAGAGTTGTGGAACGAGGACGAGATACTTCTAATCAAACAAGAAGCTTGTCACGAAACGGTTCTAGTAAATCATGTCCAGTTGAAGCGCTTTCGGCGAACGATCATGACACAATGGGTCTTGATTGCTACGCTCGCTACGGCCCTGATTGCCATCCTCGTTGTCACGAGAAGCGGCAAGCACTATTGGATACCTAATAAGTTATACTGTAGGTTTCCAGTCACTGTAAAGTGGCGCATTACGATGCTGAGACAGAAAAGCACCGGTACAGGACCTGGTCCGCTACGAGACCCGCGTCTTTGACTCTGGGTTCGGGAACCACACGACCAAGTACATGGGGCCTCCAACTGAGGAAACAGAAAAGCATTGGGAGAACCTTTACCAGGGTAAGCTGGGAACGGACACTCATAGTCACCATTGTCTTATGTTAATTGTAATATAGCCGGGATAAGCATAATACCTATCGATAAGGCAGCAAAGCTTCCAATCAAGACATACCCGATGCCAGAGAAACCCGGCTATTATGTTATTGGGCTTGATGTTTTCCATCAGCTACACTGCTTGGTAGGCATCAATACTGGAGGAGTCTTATACGCGAACCTGACAATTGTGAAAGAATCAACTCCGCTTGAAAGTATGGGGCGCTAGTACTGTTCACAAGCATAATACCAACAAGGGAGATGACGAAGATGGGAAGAAGGATAAGAACGGACTGCAGGATATAGGCCATCTAGACCACTGCATTGACTCCATCCGACAAAGCTTGATGTGCTCCTCAGACATTTCGACGATTGTATGGGTGTGGGACCCCGCAAGCCACACAGCGAGGCCTCATGCGAATGTTACCCATACGTGTCGGAATTTCGAGGCAATTAGACAATGGTCCTGGGAACATCGTGCACAAAAGTGGAATCAATCGATATTTGTTCCGGATCGGTTGCGCGGTGAGCCTTAAAGGTGGTTTGCAGGAACGTCACGTTTGGAGCGAAAGACTAGAGTCTAAGACTGAGATGGGATATGGATAGCTCGTAAGTGATGATGCTTATATTAAGAAGTGACTACCAGAAGACAGAAATGACTGAGAGCTGATGTGGATAGGGTGTAAGTGATTAGCCCCATATTCGAAAATGTCTACTTGAAGACAGCACTGACTGAGTTGGGATCTGAATAGTGGATAGGTAATTAGACCATATACGCACGACAATCCGGATATGACAAAAGTCTTCACAAGGGTATGAGCCTGCGTCAGAGCTGTTCTAGAATTGGTGCTAATATTTCTACTTAGATGCTATCCGCTGCCTATTCCCGTGCTTTTAAATATCTGTGCTTTGAAACAGTAGGTTTCGCTGCCTTGGTACAGGTTTTCCCTATTAAATTAGGTTTCCCTGTACCCTTATGCGAATGCAAAGGCTTAATATTGGACACTCCTATGTCTTCTATTATAGAGAGTAGTACAGCGTTACTTTTAGTTCCGGCATTTACTAAAGACCGAAGACGCAAGAATGTTAAAAGTTGACAAGCTTGTTAATAACTAATGACCTGTCTTAACCTGATTCGCAGGGCCTGAGGCATTTTGTTGCGGGAAAGGCTTTGAGAAAGTCATCCAAGTGGGTGGTCTAAATCTGAGAAGTAGTCAGCAATTTACTGTTAGTTACATTTCAAGCTGGGAGGGTTTAAGTCTAGCGCCAATAGTCTTGTCTTGCTAACAACAGAAGGATGAGGTAGCCAGTGGCGCAGGACACCAGTTCCAAGTTCCATCTTGTCCATTCACCTTCCCAGCCTGTCATAGTCGAATGGCTATGCGAAAACCACCCCATCGTTTATGAAGCAGTCGGAGCGGTTAGTAATACCTACTGTATTTATGTTACATCTCTAATGATTGCATAATTGAGGGCTTGGCGCCACTTGGCATCTGCCCAAGGTTCCCCAAGACCTCTTTGGCTTCTACGTACCCATTGACCTCAGTGCTCTGCCTCATTTACTCGTCCTGTGGTACGGCGCCCAAGGAGCCCTGTTCATAGCATGAATTTGGCGCCCGGACCGTAAGACTGAGAAAACCGTCTTCACGCCTCCTCCTCCTTTTAATCCTCCTTCAGGCTTCGCCAGGTACTGGTGGCGGAAGGCTCTAAAGATGGGGCAGGCGAGGAGAATATGCCGCACGCTCTGGGTGGCCCTCCCGCAGTGGCAGTCTCTGTCCTGGAGTTGTTCTCTTCACCAGGAGCCCCTTGCATTTGGTCACGTGTTTTCTCGACCCAGAGTCAATAATGTAAAACGGAATGGCAGATAGTAGTAGACATGTATAACTCTTCCTACTGAAAGAAATGCAAAGGATTGGTACCGAGAGGTAGAAATTCCCTGCTTACCCCTTGCATATGCTTCAGCTAGGAGGCACAGCAGAAACTATAATAGCCCATTTATACCAGTGGATATTTCAACTCCTACGTCGTATGCCTCAGCGGAATGCTATGCAGCACCTGATCGTCTTGTTACAAGACTCGTCGCAAAATGTAGATCACAAGCGGTGTAGATAATCAGTTCATTAAGTCAGGCTGGCATCTAACATTCGCATAGCATACCGGACAGGACCGTATGCTATTCAAGGGTTTACAGACAACATGGCAGTACATATTGCCACAATTTCATATCGATATGGTGATTGAAGGGGGAGTGCATGCATTATTCTCTATCCCTTGTACTACACCAAGTCAGAGGCTCGCGTGAAGATGTTAACATCCTAGTTATTATATACAGATATCTTTTATCGGCTTAATGAAAGAAATCTAAACCAGTCTTTCCATTCTAAAACCGATCGCCTTTGTAACCTCGCTCTTAAACGCTTTCGAATCCTGAGAATATTGGCAATATGAAGTTCCTTACTATCCTCTCTGCAATCTCATTCGCTATATTAGTGGTAGCAACGCCTGTGAAGGAGGCCAACAAAAAAGTGGACAAAGCCCAGGTATGAGAATAATAAGCATTATAACGATAAGCAACTTCTGGAAGATAACAATCTCTCTATGATGGTATATGGATAGGCTGTAAGTGATAGTTGCTATATCTACAAGGGAGTACGTGTGACTACCGGAAGACAAGCGCACTGACTGCTTGGGATATGGATAGGATGTAAGTGACTATTCCAATATGTATATGGAGTACCAGGAGACAGCACTGACACTGGCTGATATGGGATATGGATAGGATGTAAGTAATCGTTCCTATATCTACAGGTGACTACTGGAAGACAACGCACTAAGATGGGATATGGATAGGCTGTTAGTGATCGCTCCTGTATCTACAGCTGACTGCCAGAAAACAACATACTGACTAAGTTGGGAGATGGATAGTATGTAAGTGACCATTCCTATATCTACAGATGACTACTATAAGACAGCACTGACTAAGAGCGCGTATGAATAGTCTGTAAGTAATTATTTCTATATTTACAGGTGACTACCATAAGACAAGCAGTGACTAATATGGGATATGGATAGCGTGTGAGTGATCGCTCCTATATCTACAGCTGACTACCAGCAGACAGCATACTGACTAAGTTGGGATATGGATAGGATGTAAGTAATCATTCCTGTGTCAACAGGTGACTACCAGAAGACAGCATACTGACTAATATGGGATATGGATAACGTAATCAACCACCGAGCGACGAATACCACTGAGCGACGAATTTTTGCCGCTTCTAATACTATTTTGAAGCTTTTCAACCACCAACATCATTAGACTTGACTATCTAGTAGCTGAATATATAGCTATATATTAGGACAATTCCTTCTAGTATGTCCAATAGTCCAACACGCACTGCAGCGTGGTGGAGCCCGCTGACTAGGTATAGGTGTAGGCTCACTGGCCTGCTTAATAAGAGGTATATCAAGCTGCTGAATGCAACTTTGACCTTCCTGTACAGATAGAAGGATATCATTACCTAGGTTAGCATGCCTCTTTGCCTTCTTTCTTATCTTTCGCTCATTCTCAGCCCGTAGAACCTTGATTTCTTGTTGAAGAAGAAGGTTCATATTCATTGCTATTTATGCAGCCTTTTCAAGATATTAGATATGGGATACTGGACTGCTAGAAAGCTTTCTTTTCTAAAGACTTCTCTGTAGGCTGCGGACCTTTTTATCTAGTTACTAAGGATTCTGAGGAGTCTGAAAAGCAGATGATATAGAGCCTTCAAGAATTAGTGGTGTTAGTGTACAAAGTTGAAAAGTAATCTTTTCAAGCACCTAGTCTTTATTAAGTGGTTTAAGACCAGCACCTGCAAAGCCACTGTGTATATTCTTCTAGATGAAGACCCTCTCACGCGCAGATAGGTATAGGTGTAGGAAGTCTTCCTTATTAATATAGTTATTGCCAGCAACCATTATTCCTTCAACTAACTTCCTATATGCGCGCTTTAGTGGACCAAAAACACCAACACCTAATGGTTGCAGAAGGTAAGAAGTATGTGGTGGCATACAAAGGCAGATAATTACATTCTCCTTACAGAATGCATTAAATTCTGCAGTTTGATGGCTAGAATGGCTATTAAGAATAAGTAATCTCTTTGCACCAGTTAAATGCTGCCTTGAGTATGGCTTAAACACCTCTTTAAGCCAGCGAAGGCCTATTATATCAGTTATCCAGCCATTATTACTCATTACAATTAACCAGCTTTGAGGAACTGCTGATTCTTGATACTAGGTAGCCTATTGCTCTTTCCCCTTTAAGATAACCACTAGTAGTATAGAAACCCCCTTTAAGCTTATATATTTAATTATTATAACCCATTCGCGGTTACCCTGAATGATAGTATAGGGTCTCTCACTGCGATCCACTGCAGTGATAACCTTAGAAGTTATACAGAGACCCATTGCAAAGCTAGTCTCATTAAAGTTCCAGATATCATCCTTATGGATGCTATATTCTTGAATAGCCTCATGCACAGCTATAAACCACTGTTTTATAACCCTTAGATCCTCCTGCTTTGCACGCTGGTATGTAATCCTCCGGTTATATCGTGTGCGAAGGGCTGGATGGCGTTTAATAAACTTATATGCCCAGTTGACACTAATGGTTGCGGTAGGATCCTGTGTACGCTCATAGAGTAATATCTGCGCCATTCCACATAGGAACTCTGGTCGAATTGAAAAGCCCCGTTTATCTGCATCTAGTAGACGCTTGGTAAGAACTTCTTCTTCCAGAGCTGTTAATTTATGGCCATTGGCACGTGTTTCTGAGCGTGGTTTTCTTCCATTAAGGCGAGCGCGAAGGGTAGGCTCAGGCACGCTAAAGGTCTCTGCAGCGCTTAGTACTGATTTAATTTTTTTATTCTTAATGGCTGCAATTGCCATTTGTATCCGATTTTCTTGAGATAAAGGCATTTTTAATAGTGGTGATGATAAAAGAACGCATTAAAGAAAGGAAGTGGTTGACCCAGGGAGAAATTCGTCGCTCGGTAGTATTCGTCGCTCGGTGGTTGATTACGTTAGTATGTAAGTGATTACCTCTATATCTAGTGGTGGCTAACTACGAGAAACCAATACTAAGATGAGATATGGATAGTCTGTAAGTGATCATTTCTATATCTAGAGGTGATTACCAGAAGACAGCACTGACTAGGATGGGATATGGATAGTCTGTAAGTGATTATTTCTAAATCTAGAGCTCATTACCAGAAGACAGTACTGACTAGGGGGGATATGAATAGGGTGTAAGTGATAGTTCCTATATCTACGGGTGATTATCAGAAGACAGCGCACTGATTAAGATGTGATATGGGTAGGAAGTAAGTGATCATTCCTATATCTACCGGTGACTACTAGAAGACAGCACACTGACTAAGATGGAATATGGGTAGTGGGTGAGTGATTATTCCTATATCTGCAGGTGGCTGCCAGAAGACAGCACACTGACTAAGATGGGATATGGATAGTTGGTGAGTAAACATGCCTATATCTACGA